AGCAGATATGGTAAGACTTTTCCTTTTTGAAAATATCTCTTTTGGAAGAAGTTATGACGATAGGACGCACGCGATAAATTATGTGAAATTACGTTTTTTTTCTGCAAAAGTTATGAGCGGTATAGCATATGAATAATCAAAAAAACTCCATCTTTTGATTCGCTATCGCTAAAAGTTAAATCCATGAGCCTATATAACGCAGTCAGCTTTGTTTGTGCTTTTTTAGATAATTTCAGAAGAAAAGAGAAAAAAATCCTTGCGTACATGACGGTGAAAAATTTGTGCATTCTGAAAAAGCGAATTCTTAGTACAGCTTGAAAAATTTGGTGCCACTTACTCAGTAAAAATGCGAAGCAATATCACCATCTTTTGGCATTACTAAAAGTTTTGTTGGCTATTATTCTTTTTAGAAAAGTGATGAAGGATGCGTAAGCTGATGCGAGTCATTTAAAATAAACAATGAACCTTTCACTAGGCATTGTATTGGGTAAAGATTTATGTATATGATCATAGCTGAATTTTACCGAAGTTTCCTGAATTCATTTTAATTTGAATTTTCTAATTTAAATAAAGAGAGACTGTAAAGCTTGAAGATATTAGATGAATATCTGGCAATTTGCACATTTTACCCAAATTGATATGCGATTTGATAGGCACGAGATGGTATGAGCCACGCAAATGACCGCAAAGGAAACTACTGGACCCTAGCCGCCGATTGTACGCCAATGTTTGATAATGGGAATTATAAGCGAAGGTAAGCATTGCACCTTAGATTTTCACAATTACTTGATCCCTCGTAGTGCTTTTGCAGAAGAATCAAGCGCACTCCACCCTATGCAGCTCGATTTTCGTCTGTGGTTGAGAACAACCAGCTCTCATATCTCAGACAATGGCAGCTTTCACGCATGCATGGAGCCGCTGCGTTAGATCCAATGCACATGATGCTAATGGGAGGGGTAAGCATAACTTATGCTTAGAGGATGGCTAGAAATAGCGTAACTAAGGATTTACTTTTGAAATATAGAGTCTACCGTACCAGATGCCAGCAGATTTGGCAGTTGGCATGTCATCATTCGATCAATCTGGCACAACACTAGCTACACAACCTCTCCCATCATATAATAGTGCATTCTTTCCAGCAAGCACAAGTGGAATATTGACTCAGGTAAAATGAACTTTACTTAGAACAGCTTTAGACAGCAAAGGACAAAAGGAGTTAGATTAATGATTGGATGATTGGTAAAAAGAAAAGAATATGATGCAAAAAGCTAAAGATGCTCACTATACTCGCCAAAACAAGTGATTCAAAATAAATTGCATGCTTCTTTTGTGTGAGTCAAAAACAATGTGGTACTTTCCAGTTTAAGTACACATGTAGCTAAAATTGTCAATCAGTATCACTTTAGGCGATAGTCCACGACGAATAATCG